CTCCTCCTTCCTTGAGGACAGCTGGGAGGTCCTGTCGCTCCTCCGGTGAGGTTGCAGCTTTCGGAGTCCTGGTTTTGCCCTCAGGGGCTTCTGGCTTGGGGCTGCCTTTCCCAGCCGCTGCCTGGCTCTTCGGCAGCACGGCAAGAACCACTTTCTTAAGCCGGATCCCTTCCCCTGGTGCCCCTGTTTCCTGGGTGGGGACATCTCTAAGAGGCGTGGCTGGTGGCCCGGGAGGGGGTCCCTTGGCCTTCTTGGAGGGGGTGCTGGGAGCCAAACTGCTCTCCTTAAAGAGGTCTGTGAACTGCACCTCCTGAGGTTCTTCCGTAGGAGGCAGGGGGACCCTATGGGGGGGCTGGGCCTTTGGGATCAGGAGGATTGGCTTTGACTCGCCCCCCCCGGGGGTCAAGGCCCCTTTCCGAGGAGTCTTCAGGACCAGGAGGGGAACGGGGGGCTTCTGAGGAACCCCCTTCTCGGGGCTGCTGGGGGGCTGGGGGGCCTTTGAGGGGCCCCGGGTGGCCTTTTCCGTGGGCTTTGAATGCGGCGCCGGGATTCCCCAGGTGAAGACCATGAATTTGTGGCTGATGTTGAAGTCGATGATGCAAAGTGCCTCCTTGGCCACGAAGGTCAGCGCCAGGTGTTTGGGCCTGGAGATTTTGTTGCCAAAGCGGATCAGCTTCGGCAGAGGCTTTATGGAAAGGATGCTGAAGGTGCGGATGGAGTCCTCAACCATTTCAGGGAGGGCTCCCTTCTGAACTTCCACCAGTTTCACCGTTAAATGGAAAAGCAGCTTCCGGAGTTCTTCGGGCTCCACTGAGAGGAGAACGTCGTTTGTTTGGCTTCTCTGGGCATCTCTTGGCTTAAGGCCCAGGTTCTCCTCAGGAGCAGGGAAGCCCCCTTTCCCGATTTCTCCCGGCTTTGCCTTGTGATAAAGGTAGTAACCTTTGGCTCTTGGAGGCTCCTGGAAGGGCTTCATGTAGACAGCCAGGGCGTTTCTGGGGAGGGGGGGAGGCTGCGCTGGAGCTTCCGGGATTAGTAAAACAGTTTTCGTAAGGTCCCCACGGAGGAAGGGTCTTTTCCCCAGAGGCTGGAACTGGTTGACAGAGTTGATGACCACAGTGGGAATCCCACAGCGTCTCTGGACCATTTTCTTCTTGATGTGAAATTCCAGGAAGCCTCGGCTCTTCTCCTCCATTCCTTTTAGCACAGTGGGGACTTCCTCTGGGCGGGGGGGCAAGGCGCCAGCAGGCTCTGCAGTGACCTTTGGTGGAGGGGGCTCCTCTTCCTCTTTTGCACAGGAAGGTTTCGGGGAGGATTCATCTGTTGTTTTAGCAAGTTCCTCTTTCTGCTCCTTCACCTCGACGGAGTCCAGACACCGCACGGCCACTTCATCCAGCAAGGGGAGAGCAGGAGGTTTCTCTCCCACTTCCTCTTCGTCCCCGATCGTCAACCTGGGAAAGGAGCCCGGGGCCGGGGGGGACGGCAGGGGCCCCATGCGGATTTCGAGAGATTTCTCCACCAGAATGACCTGGTCCTCCTGTTCAAAAGTGGAGCTCTGGACAAAGTTTATGTGGGCAAAAGACGTCTGTGGGACTCCCTTCATTCCAGGATGACTCTCGGGAAGCAACTCTGCGACTTTTATTTCAGGAATTCTTTCTGGGAATAAAGGGAGAAATGGCGGCCGGCGTTGTTTCCTTTTCTTTAGAAAGCGAAGGGCATCCGATTCCGAGGAAGAAGAATCGGAGCTGCTGGATTCGGAAGTGTCCGAGGAGCCGTGTATTGTCCAGGAAGCATCTGTAGCCACACGGCAGCACAGGTTCAGGTGTTTCAGGAGGGGCCAGCAGGAGGAGGAGCCGGAGGGGAGGGAGGAGGAGGAGGAGGAGGAGGACGACGAGGACTTTGGCAGAATCACGGTGCCCCTTAATAAAGGAGGTGGACGGGGGAGGTGCTTTGGGTATATGTTCTCATCTTGACACAGGCTTCGTGGGGTTTGGTATGGCTCATAAGGATGCCGGGGCACCTGACAAGGCAGCTCATAACTGTAGAAATAGAGAAAAAAGCAGAATTTTCCTACACTGCTAGACATTAAAAAAGTCTTTCCATTTCTCCAATGTGCCCCTTCCTCCCCTCTTGGGGAATCTTCCACAATTCTTCAGACCTTAACTTGTCTGAAGAACTGTTGTGGCTGTTTTGTGATGCCCAGATAGGTGGACCCACCTGGCCAGCCCCACTGAGCCTTCCCCAGCAACACGGGGAGCCCAGGCCCAGCCAGCTCTGAGCAGCCCCCACAATGGAGTTTCCCTGCCGTGAGTGAGAGGGCAGAAAGTGCCCTGGCAGAGAACCTCCTACAAAGACAGGTTTCACCTACCTTTCAAAATCAGGTGTTCGTTGCCTCCTGCAAATGCAGCCAGAGTCTATAACCGAAAAAAGGGATATATTTGGAATTTACTT